ATTAACTAATAATCCAAAAAAAATAAGTAGTTAAATTGAGTTTAAGAATGGCAATAGATTGATTGTAATAGAAAATACCTTCACAGCAAAAAATTGAAAACTATTGAAAAACAATTGGCATTAAAATAAGCAATCAATTTCTCAATCTCAGACATCGAAAACTTCGAATCCTTCAAAAACAAGGTTGGGTGAAAAAATTAGAGCAGCATGTAGAGAGAAGGGAGAAAAAAACGAAACCGTAACAACCCAAAACCAGAAAATATAATCCAAACCCGAGGTAGTCCAATAAGAGGTTGCATGGGGAAATGGAGGAAAATGGAGGAGGAGTGGTTGGTTGCGTGAGATAATAGAGAAGCAGGACGGCGGTGTGGGAATTTTTGAGAATTTTTTTTTTAAAAGGGGGATTTTTGACGATGACGAAAAATGGCGACACGTGTAAGATTTGTTTAGCCTCTTTTAATTTATAGTGATTGATGAGATGGCCACTTTACCCTTTTTAAAAAAAATTCATACAGACCATGATGGTTAGTGTACAATTTTTTAGACAGTTTAAACTTTAAAAACAAGCTATTAAGAAATATTCTATTACCATGAGATAATTCTCTCCAAGTTAGTTCATTGAACTATCTAAACATAAAGGAGAAATGATGCTTGTACAAGGGAAATGCACGGACAATTTTACAGGTGCTGAGATTATTTGACTATTATTTTGTCCAAAATTCAATGAAATGTTGCCATGGGACATTCTGTAAACATATCTGTGCATTTTCCCTATACATGTATCATGGCTCAAACTATAGAATGATCGACACATAATTGCCCAACATTAATCAACTTTCACAACAATATGAACTGTTTGCTCAAATCGACAACTTGAGTATTTTAGTTCTTTTCTCGAGAGTGCTAACTTAAATTTGTAGTGTTTAATCGAGATTAAAATTAAATTTTATTAGATTGTGATAGAAGTTTTTGAAATGTGTGGTTGAAAAGTTGTGACACTCATAAAAAATGTGGTTAATATTGATTATTTGACTTTGACTTGAATTAAAATTAGATTTTAATCCGGACCAAACATGGGCTTGATGAGGAGACAATTTGGTCCTCAAGTTTTAACAAACAAAAAAGAGAGAGAAAAAATAAAATGAAATATAGTGTTTCAGAAAATAAATTTTCCAATGAAATTAGTAGAAAAGTATTTTATTTAATTTAGAAACCACAAAACAACAGTTAAAAAGACTACATAGATGCTTGTCTTGAGAACCTCATGGGTACAATAAATTATTTTAAGGAAGATGACTACGGAAATACTTTTATCAGCCATGATTTTCCCTCCTTGTACTCACATCTTAGAATGCAGAGCAGTTTTCATCGTGGATTCTGTCTCGTCTTTTGTCCCTCCCGACTGCAGCCTCTTTAGTTTCTCTTTTACTTTGAAAAGGATGGAATGCACTTCGTCAAAATGAGGTCTTGTTACATTCTTTGTATCATCGATCCATTTCAAAACTCTTTTGTGGGGGCCTAATATTCGATCACGATCCTTCTCATTCACAACCTAAATCCAACAAAATAAGTCCACTAAAGTGGATTCACATAATTCTACAGTTTCGAACATAGAGCATCACAAAACTGAAGAAGAAGTGTGTAAAAAGAAGAATATACATGTTAAGGTGGATTAGAGAATACGAGAAATAAGAAAAAGAAGATGAGCATTTTTCAATTATACAGAATGGCCTGTAGCTTAGAGACTTCGTGTAGGTCACTGCCGAGGGTGGCAATATGCTTATTACAGCTTCCATGAGATAGCATTCTGTTTTATGAAGAAGCTGAGCAAGACTTAATAAAAAAAGATCATAAATTGAATTTAACTAATTACATGGACTTTTCATGTGAAAATTATACCGTATTTGCATCAATGAACTTGTACATCTTCATATATGCATTTCGGAAGGTAATAGCGGATACTAGAACTAAAAGAATGCCTAGTATAGCAAACTATGGTACAAGAACATTGCACAACCCTGTCATACTTTATTTTTCTAACAACCTATTATTGTTGATCATATCAGTGATGGCAAAATAATAACATAAATGTTTACCTCGAGCTGCATGATTTCACACACTAAACTAAGATCTGCTATGGATGGTTGTAAGCTTCCAAGCAGAAAACGTCCATTTCCCTTGAGCCAAACAGATTCTATCTTTGCAAGAGATGCTGATAATATTTTCTCACCTTCAGCTGCAGCTTTTGGATTCAAAGGCCGCCCAAGTGCAGGTCCAAGAGTAGTGTTGAGGACATATGTAGCTGGAACCAACAGCATGTTTAAGAAAATTAAGGTCCACTAGATAAACGTAAAGTACTGAACATACAAAATTTTATGATTACTCCATTTTCTTTCTTTTTGCACTACCATAGGGCACCTAAAGCATTTATCCAGTCAAAAAGACAAATGCATAAAATCGTTGGTGTGTAAAACCAATTGTAGTTCTTCCATTGGGACAACCTCACTTAGTTAAAACAGGAGTGTCTTCTAAATTGTTGCTTCATTATTAAACATATCCCATTGTTTCTCTGGAGATAATGCAAACTTTAACAGCATCATTAACCTATAACAAATCAATGATATGCTAAGCATAGGCATCAATTCGGATCAAAAGAATCTTCTAGAGAAAGACATAAAGCACCTGCACCGTAGCGTAAATTGGAGTGATGCCAGTCTAATACGGAGTGGATCTTTGCTCTTTTGGAAAGGTCAGCAGGATACCTACATTAATAAAGAATTAGGTAGCAGCATATGAAATCTCGCATAAAATATTTGAGAATACATTAGTGCAGATAGGTATCCAGACTTTGGAAAATAATTCTGGAAAAGAGACCTCCAATTTCAAATTTACTTCACAAGCAAAATTTGGACATTATATGACTGAAGCATCATAGTTGTCTAATCTCGAAATAAAGAAAAGTAGTCAATTCATTCTAGGGGAGACTTTTGCACAATGGTACAATGAGGTGAGAGTGCATCCCGTATAATGACGTGAGAAAGCAATACCATGTAGTAAATATATATGACTCCTTATTTATAGTACTTACACCACATTTTATCAATATAAATATATCCAAAGGGCTTATTATTATGGCAATAGGCCACAGAAACATGAAAAGAAGCATCTAGGAAACTAGGGAATGTTATTTTCAGAAAGTATCCCATAGGTAAACGGTCTACGTTATAGGATAACAAGATGGTTACTTTTAATTTTTTAAACCTAATCTCTGTAGATTTCTATTCAAGATTCCATGTTTAGCTCTATGCTCTATTTACATACACAACATATTATTTAGATACAAAAGGTTCTAATGACGATTGATGGAAAAACTAAATCAACTGAACTCACCAGTGATCTGCAACTCCAGGAAATACATAAGCTAGATAGATCATAATTGCATGACTGCAAAACACTTCAAAAGTGTGAATAAAGTTGAAAATTGACAAAATTCACATCAAATGCTTCATTGGGTAGCATAAGAACGTCATGAATTGCTAAAAGTGACAGTTCGATTATGCAGTACATTATGCTTGCTATATGCATATTAAAGATGAAAATAATCCTTCTGAAACTCGTTTCTAAGCTGATATTAATTTCAAAATTTATACCAGTATAACGTTGCTTTCAGCAGCATTGAGTGAAATTTTTTCTACTTCCAGTCAAGGCACCAAGTTTGTTCTCAATAACTATCAAAACCTATACAACATTTCTGAAAAGCAGGTATAAACCAAAGATCATCCAAGTAGAGAATATTCAATGGGCACAATATAATAAGTGAACAAAGATACAGTATCTTCCCCTAGACAAAAAAATAAAATAAAATAAAATGAAAAATTCTCCAATGTTACTTATAATCCATAAAATAACATAGATATTTATACCCAGTCGAAGTAAGGAACAACGGAATATATGTTTCATCTAGGAATGAGGCCTGAGTACAACTTCCATCGTGCTTCCACAAATTCAACTAAGACATTGATGGTTTTGTTTACAAGCAGCGAGGAAAGAAAAGCATTTTCAGGTAGACCACTACAGAGAGTACTAGAAATGAGCTATTGCTCATGCCTAAGATAACCCAACAATTGGCACTTTAAAAAGGAAATTAGGCACCATTAATCAGAAAAAACTGATAATTAATAATGAACAGTTAGTGACTTTTTAGGATAACACTACAGAACTGGCTAATCATTAAGTTACTGTACAAGAAAAACACGTTTTGGTAATTTTCTAATCTCTTACCATTTTTCAAAATCGATTACTCCAACATCAGTAACCAGTATATATAATCCAATGAGCATGTATAAGTAAACGTACGATAACGGAATCTAAACCTCAATTAAAGATTCTCTTGAATGAAATCAAAGTAAAATTTAAGGGTACCTCTCAAAAAGCTTGAA